AAGCGTAGCTTAAATGTGGCACAAATCCGAAAATATATAGTACCCAGTGAGGATCAACTCACTACTCAGTTGTAATTGGCATCATGCTAACCATTACACGATGTCAAAGAGTTCCAGGCAAACTCTTAACAAATCGAGACTATATGTTGATCTTTTCAAAATGTATTTTAAGCAATAAAAACTCAGTAAATGTTATAAATTTACTTATTTATATATCATTGTTCATTTTTTCTTTGTGTTTTTTTAACAAATATGCTTGCCTTTGTTACTATATATTCGAACTAGTATTACAGATTTTACTAGTACAAGAATATATTCGGAGAAATGTCAGGAAACTGCCTAACGCCACTTTTACAATGTTATTAGTAACACTATAAAAAGTATAATGACAAAAGAAATTACAAGATGACAATTCAAAATGGGGAGTAATTGGGGATCTTGAGAGGAGTATTGTGACATGGGACGATGAGAACGACTCATATAAACGGAATGGTCTGTTTTGATTGCGATACTAAATATAAAAAATATAGATTCTCTTTTCATTTCAATGTGTATGGTAAATATTTAAGCGATGAAGATGTTAGTCCTTTCTGAATAAAATCGGAATGTTATTTCCATTTACAAACAGGTTCCGCATATACTCGTGTATAAGTCGACTTCATGTATAGTGCGGAACCTGAATTTTTTTTGCATGAATTTTAATCCCGTTCAGAAAAAAATTACCTGTGTATAGTGCAAATGGTCACCGAGAATGCATGATTTTAAATTCTTAAAAAAAAAAAAAAGATTATGTATAATGCGACCACCTATTTTTTTTTTTATCTTGAAAACTCACTCTATACTCGAGTATATACGATATTCAGAAATGTGTATCTGTGAGTTAGCGACTCGGAAAAAAAAATCGGAAAGCCGAGTTCAAATTTTGTCCAAGTTTGTTATATTCACTTTCAAACAAATACTCATGGGAAAGACATGAATCCATCTCTTCTCTCTCCAGCTATGTGTTAAATAGTAGAACTAACTAGGTTCTCTTGATTTGAGGTAGCAACCAGTCTAGGAGAATAAAAAATTTTAATTCAAAATCAGGCTATCTTGCCCTTGACACACCAATTCAGCACATGTCTTGTCCCAACGATCCTGATTGGTTAATGGGACGCGTGACGTGACGATTCGGAAACATAAAAGATTATATTTGTTAAAACAGCGATAATGACGGAAATTGTAATGGCATCAGTTATAACTGTTTTCACATATCTTCTCATCCGTCATTATTTTAAACAAATGAAAATACTTCTGTAAATATCTATACCTTAATTCTCACCAGATAGCATACCCAAGTGTATAATACGCACCTATACTTTGTTAAGTGATATTTAGGAAAGAAACTAATAGTAGATTCTATAGTAATGATTCATTCATATCTATATGAAGATGTTTTCTTATATTTTAACATTATAATTTAATCATTTTCATCCTATATATTTAATTATGGAGTTATCAAGGGTTTAGTGGGTCAAACATAGATTCTTAGGTATTTGCCTCGTACTGACAACCCTACCATCAGATAGGGGATTTTTTCAAGGAGTGTCCGCATAAAAAGGGCACTATACAATATATATATATATATATATATATATATATATATATATATATATATATATATATATATATAATGTTAATAACTATACTCGGTCGGTTTGAAAAAAAAGCTGGATAACACAATTTGCAAATAAAAATATATTGAAACAAATAGGTATCTGGGGAAAAAATTTTGAAAAAAGAAATGTCTAAAAACATCCGAGTAGGCCTAAAATATCATCCAGCGCTGTAATTTCTAGTCCAAAGAAAAAAAAAATGCAATCAAGTAAATAAGAAAAAAACGTAAAGTGCCCAATACATTAAGTAGAGCAGAGTATAGAAAATCCTAGTGAGCCATGAACTACCTACCTAGGTAGTTCCTGGCTTACTAGGAATTTATATATATATATATATATATATATATATATATATGTATATATATAATTATAGATAACTAGACTCGTTTCGAAAAACCCTCGAATTTTTGATTTGCTAATAATCAAATCAATCTCGAAGGAAAAAAGGTTTTAAAAAAAGAAAGAGCTACAAACATGAACTTCTACTGCCAAAAAAATCGCACAGATGCAGGTCTGAAGCCCAAAGAAAAAAACCGATACGAGTAAACAACTAACTAACAAAAGAGATCAATACAACCGTAGAACAGACCTAGATACACCTAGTGAGCCAGACAAACCTACCCAGGTTTCACCTAAACGGATCGTCAGGGAAAGTAAGGCTGCCCTAACGCCATATGTGTATATATATATATATATATATATATATATATATAGTCCTGGTCATAATAAAAGAGTGCTCGATATATAAAAACAGAGCAAAAGATCTATACTAATAACGAATATATATTTTGGTCCTCACCATTGAGTACAAAATGTGTATTTATTACTAGCATATATATTATTAGCATATTTTTATTATAATATTATATTAATAATATTATATTTATTATGATATATATATTATAATTATAATATGATATTTATTAATCGTATATATTATTGAGGAACAAAATGCCAATCTCTTATTATGAGTATATGTATGAATACATGCATGTATGCATGTATGTATGAATTGCAAATATGAATTAAATCCGTCAAAGTGTTTAGATAAACAACAAGTAAGTACATCTTTATAAATTTACTGTTTCGTTATTTATTTTAACTTCATCGGAAATTGTTTTGGCAAGCGCAAAAATCTCTGATGAAGCGAAAATAAATAGCGAAACATGTTAAACTTTTAAAGCTTTTTCTACTTGTCCCTTCTTTAATTAATATATATATATATATATATATATATATATATATATATATAGAGAGAGAGAGAGAGAGAGTGTGTGTGTGTTAAAAAGTTTTAAGCTCGATTAAGAATTTCTTCAAAAACAATTTTGGTATTTGATCACTTTTTCAAATTTTGACGAAGTACGTGTGGCGGGGAACTTTTCATGTCACCCTACAAAATGTTATTCGCAATCGGCTTTGGGGATTGGTAAATATAGACAAATCTTTATCGTTGGAAGAATTAATATTGTCTCTTTTGTCTTACTGAGTTCTGCCTATCTACACTGTTGTTAGACTATCGTTCTTGCTTGATGGTGAAATATATTATCATAGCGTTCACGGTGTCTATCGAAGGGATTATTATTTAGAGAGTTTAAAAATATATGGTTTTATATCATTCTTCCCTTCTCTAAATTTTGAAATAATTATTTTAGCTAAATTTGTACATCTGGAACCTTTTATCCAGTAAAGTTTTTGTTTGAAAAGTGTTGACTAGGATAATGACGTGATAAAAATAGAATTTACCTTTTACGTCAGGAACGTACACATAAACGCACACATTCGTTCCTGTACACATGCGCATGTAAATGATGAAACCTCACGAATATTAACTTTATCATTTGTCAATTAGCATACTCCTTTCTCTGCAGAGACTTTCCTTAAGTCCATACTGCTTTGGTTGGCGTTTGTCTAAACTGTATTTGTACGACGGAGTGCTGAAAAGATCTCAGCCAGACACACTTCCCCAAATCTCACTAAATGACTAACTATCAAGATTTTGTAGACAAATAGGAATTCCTTCTTGGTTGGGTGGAGATCTTTTCAGTGCTTCCTCGTATTTGGATAATGCCTTTTAGAAACTAAGGTACATTGAAATTTTGTCAGATGGACACAAAACCTGTAAACCCATTTTTTTCTTTTCTTAGAAAGTCATACAGTCATGGAGACTTTGTACGTGTTATATACGTAGGCAAGTACCTAGATATATTTACTAAACCGAGCATAGTGTGCCGCATCGCCAACTAGGAGGAAATTAAAGGTTAGAAAAATCATATTGCGCCAATATTTGCACTTGCCTTGAAAATCAGCATTCGAAATTCTGACTGTTTATTGGAGTGGAACGCTGATCACTTGGCACTAATAGAAAATATGCAACTCTCTCTCCTGCATCGGTAGGTAACTATATTCCACACAATAATAATAATTTACTAAGCTTGGTATATTAAGGCATATAGCCACAATTGTGAGTCACCCAGTGGGGATCGAAATCACTACATGTGAGGATCACACTCACTGTACTAGTAAGTGAGAAAAGTTTGCTGTCCCCTCGTCAAGGCACCCTAAATATGTTGATTAGAACGTACTTGCATCAAGGGAGATAATTTGGTTAGACAAAACTAATTTTGAATGAATTCAACGTGTTTTTGGTATTGTTTTCCTTGATTTCCTCTAATTTCCGTATTGATAAAGCTAATAAATTTCAGGTTAAGAAACAAATCCGCAAATACGGCTTTTAGATTAATCAATGTTTCTGTCATCAATTTTTCAAAAAACTTCCTTGACACTTTTACTGTTGCTTCTCTGTCATCCACATTTGTTGATTTGGGCATTTGTAAAAGGGGAATGTGTGTGTGTGTGTGTGTATATATATATATATATATATATATATATATATATATATATATATATATATATATATATATATGTGTGTGTGTGTGTGTGTGTGTGTGTGTGTGTGTACATGTGTACGTGTGGTTCTCTGTGTATGTGTGTGTGCCTTATGTGTTCGTTCTTGTCCGTTCGTTGATTTGCATGAATGTGTGCACGCTTACTCATATACCTTTTGAGCATGCGTGTCTGTACATACGTGTGTGTGCGTGTTCAATTACGTCATATATCGTTTTTCATTACAAGATGGAAGTAAATACTATCCTTTCAAGTCAAATAAGGTTTCCATCCTTTTCTGGCACATATATATATATATATATATATATATATATATATATATATATATATATATATATATATATATATATTATAAGTCTTTATATTAATAATAAATATGTATGATTGATTTCCTTTCTTTCCTCTTTTTTCTCTTTCTTTATATTATATGAGTTTTTCTATTCAATAGGTCGTATTTCGCCATTCGAATCTGGAAGGCCTTGGCATATCGCTGCTCACCGTTGTTGTGACTGGGTTGGGCTCTTGCTTTAGACAGCGACACAAACGCATCACATATGTGTGCCATCCCTCCGGCAAAATGATGAGCAGCAGGCCAATTTCAATTAACACGGCGGCAGATACCTTCATCCCTGGAAACTGGGCGTTTCTCCACACCAGATCCGCAACTGTAAAAAAAACAAAAACAAAAAACGAATCTATGTCATTTAATCCTTGGAGTGCAGTCATGTGTTAACTTTTGCAGCAGTTTCGTCTTTTGTGAAAACTTGAAACTAAATACATAATAGGAAACAATTTAAAAACAATTTTTTCTCTAAAATACATTGAGATCTTTTGCCCAGAATATATTAGATTTATAAAGAGCAGATCAATCTGATCACAACGGTAATGCGTTTAACAAATTAAAAAAAATAGAATTAAAAAATGAAACTCATGAAATGTATGCGACCATATTAGTAAAGATCTTTCACTGCCACTTTTTCTCTCACTATTTTACTCTGTGAGTTCGCGCGTGTGTGTGAGTAAAGTTGGATAAGTTGCGCGTGTGTGTGAGTAAAGTTGGATAAGTTGCGCGTGTGTGTGAGTAAAGTTGGATAAGTTGCGCGCGTGTGTGAGTAAAGTTGGATAAGAATCAGACGAAACAGAAAGAGAAGGAAAATAGGAGAATTTTGATTTATTTTTTTTTTTACCTTTAGAGGTTTCATCAATGATCAAAAAAAGAATTTTACAAAATCTACATTATCTAGACAAAACATGATTTACGCTAAGCATCTGAACAATTGATTTTTACTTTATCTATATTTTTTATAGAAATTAGATTCCTTTATCCGCAACTGTTAGATTTCTATTTGGACTGAAAGAGATAAAAAGTTTAAAAAAAAAGAAGACAAAAACGAAAGAAAAACTATAAAACCAGAAAATAAATTTTAAATTATTTTCAAAGAAACAGGGTTGGAAACCATTATCAAAACAAAGCTAAAAAAAATCAGTTTTTTCTAGATGACCATTCAGTAAAAGCAAACGACAAGCTACTTGACATAGACACTTCCTCCAAACAACTACCTATCAAAATAAAATCATATTCCATAGTCCACCAGCCGCAGATTATTCGACAACACGTCAGATGAAAAATGTAAATGAAGGCACTTTTAAAATCTGAGTTTTTTTTTTTTTACAAAATTGAACTTGGCATCAAATAGAAGCCAGAAAAAAAGTATCATTGGAAAAATGCTGAAATAGTCATCAAATTCATCGATAAATTCTTTGTAATATTAAGAAAACTGCAGATTTAAGAGAAATTCTCTAAAACTGCGCTATCGTTGCACTAAAAAATATGGTATTTAGATTATAATAAAAAAAACACAACAAAAAATCACAAATATCCACAACCCTCACTTGTAACTATAAATATTTGGGTTTTACATTTTAATGCGGCAATTTTCAGAGCCTTTATGAGAAAAATTCGTGACCATGACGACTTAGAAAGATTGAAACCATTATTCAAGCGATACTTATTACAATGAGGCTATTTGGATCATTCCTTGATCATAACCTTACATGCCTCCAATAAATGAGCGGCCGATATTATTGCGGGAGTTGCCACTTTTGTTGCAATGTTTGGACGATTTTTTAGTAAATATCAATGACTCATGGAACATTTGTCCCGCAAACAATATTTAGCGGACACATGTGAGTCCAGGTAAGATAAAATACACCAAACAATGATTTTGAAACAAGCGACAGTTAATTCATGTATTAATAGAAAGAAATTACACAGTTTGAAAAGAAAGGAAGACATTAAAAACTTACCTATTAGGATTGTGGTTGTTTGTGTGTGTGTGTTACAAGCGTGTGTGTATGTGCGTGTGTAACACACACGTGTGTGTATGTGCGTGTGTGTGTGAGTGATCAATCGTCAATCAAATGGAGAACGGATGCGCCACAGTGAGGACGTTCTCATTTACGGTTTGCTAAATTTTGGAGCAAGAGGCAGAAAAAATGTTTGGTAGGGTGAAGTCGGGTAACTCACTGTATCAATACTAGACTGAATTGAATGGTTTGATTATTTTTTTTTCTAATCCTGTTTCTTAGTCGATTAGTGAAATACTCACCTGCACATAACGGAATTCCAATAAGAAGTCCCATTTCTAGGAAAATGGAGAATGTGATGACGCCAGAGTAATTAGAAAGGAATTGATGAACTGCAAAATGAAAAGCGAAATGCTTTTAATTTTTGTAAAAGTCTTCAACGGATTTTCATATCACATCTTTGCAAGAAGTAATGCATTCGTAAACGATTACAATTTAACATAAAATAAATCAGCTAAGGCTAAAAATAATCTTACATGCATAGTTTATATAACTGATTTGACCATCCTGAAACTGGAATTTAAAAAAATAATCTTTGAATTGAAACGTTATATTTTACAAGCATTATTAATAGATCTGAAAGCATCGATGCTTTCTTCCGGAATGCACGAGCTACTTTTACTGTTAGCAGTAGTAATTACTAGTAATATTATTTGTAGTACTACTATCAGTACTACTACTAGTATCAATACTTGTCGTAGTAATAAACAAAATTAGTAATGAGAGTATAATGCACAAACAAAGACAGTGGAAGGTGTAAAACAGATTAGGCTAGTAAAAAAGGATTTTTTTAGCATCTGCTTTTTCCTTTTTGTTCTTATTATTGCTCACCCAATATAAGGCTCAAGAACCAGTCAAGGTAGAGTGTTATTAAATGATGTTGTTGTGTGCTGATAACGTTTAATCCTAGACTTGGAGAGGCTAAGAATGTGGTGATCGTAGAAGCATCTTCTTAATTAGCGGTCCTTGGGAAGAAGCTGTCTAAATAAATCTTCATTATTATCAATGAAATACAAAGGTAATGAGGATAAGTTAAGCCTGTATATGTGGTGTTATGGTAATTTACCCACGCACGCATGGACTCTTCCAGCTATAAATAGGAGCAGGTACTGCCTTTTGGAGAGGGAAGTTTCCAGCAATCAGCTCTGACAGTCGGACCGAACATTCTTGCTGTAACACTCTCGTTTTTATATGTTTGTATTACTGTTTCTGTTAATATATTTGTTTAATTCAATTCCTCTTTTGTGTGTTTATTTCTGGCTCTAACAAGGCTACAACATATGGCATGGCGGATTTTAGCTGTAATGGTCTGAACTGGGGAATGCAACCCGCCAGAATATCTTCTAAGGAAATAGAGATAGATTAACGAGAGGCTGTGGCAATGGAGTTGAAGGATAGAAAATAGTTCATCACCCACAAGGCCACAAAGACGCTTTTGAACTCTGTCAAGGCTGAAAAGTGAGGATTTAGCAGTTTCAGCCTAGATATGACAGCAATACTCCATTTTGGGTCTGAACTGATCTTTAATGTTAAAGCATGTTAGGAGGAGACAAGATACTTTCTGGATCGATACACTGATCCGATCATTTTCCAGCTTCTTTTCCACTGATGGACTATATATCTGACTTTCACTTGAGCTCTGCAGTGACCTTTTCTCATAGTAGAAGATCAAAACACCAATTGAGAGTTCAATTGATCATCAGGAGAAAATTCAGGGTCCACTCAGTGATAATGAAATGTTATTAGATTTTGGATGTACTGAATGTGACAAGCCAGTCCCCCTACCCATTGAGCTGTTAGATGTAGGTTAGAGGGTAGATCAGCTGCCAGACTCTGGTCAACTATATCTTGAGGGGTGTGTTCATAAACTGTAGTATAATCTGTATATATATTTACTAATGGTCTGTCCACAAAACTGATATAATCACTATAGTGAAAGTATATTTCAAACATTAAAATATGACCATATCATGCGCAACAGTCTAATATAAGTTTATATGAAAAAATTATTTTTCATCTATATATGTAAATATTAAACTTAGTTAGACACTGGCGCATAAATGTATGGTACTCGGTGAGTATCGAACTCATATGCTTCATTGCCATGATTGCAGTCACCGATTGGAAAGTAAATATTCGGTTTTTGCTCCTTCCAATTTTGCTTCACAGAATTATTATGGTTGTCAAAGACCTTACAAATAGTTTTAATTTAATCTAATCTAAAATAAATTACAAGAGAGAGAGAGAGAGAGAGAGAGAGAGAGAGAGAGAGAGAGAGAGAGAGAAGAGAGAGAGAGAGAGAGAGATTTACCTGTTGCAAGGACGGCGGAGGCACATAATGGCGTCCAGGGGAGTACTGACCAATCGACTGTCTCGGTTTTTGTCAAATAAAACAGGAGAATGAAGGGCCAGAGACAAAGCAAATTTCCAAAACCTAACAAAAAGAAGGAGAATAATAAAATCATCTGGCTGTTGACAATTGCATCAAATATCATAGAGAAATACATATCATATTATACTATTATATAATATTATACAATTATATTATATAATTCATATTATAAAACTCTAACCTATTTTACAATTATCCAATTTCCATTTGACAGTTTGTCGACGCAACAAAAATAGCACACCATTGCGAGATGTTTCTTAGCGCACAACCATCAAACTGTACAATGTGAAGAGTAAAGCAATTTTCAGACAAATTTACAATGAAATAGTAGTGTTGTGCGTCTATTCACGCCCACAGTGATTATTAAGGAATAAACAAAATACCTTACATTGATTGCACAATTCTGAGTTTCATGCCGAAGCAATTATCAGGTGTAGGTATTTTCTATTTTTATTTTGGGTTAACACTGGTTTTACAAAATTCATGCTTATTTAACATTGAGCACCGTTTTTTCTTACACTATTGTGTATTTATATGCGATCGCTGGCTCATACATCATACATTTACCTATATTTACCCATTCGGTATATATATATATATATATATATATAAAACCCGATATCTCAAGAGAGATAACTCCAGGTATATCGAATGTTACTTACAGGCTATTTACTCCTATTTACTGATATATTTATGTGCAAATGGTGTTATGTATTAAAATATACCGATTTTATTCGTGCCCAATAAAATAAACCGATTTCTTAAGAGAAATAACCAGGTATATTAAATGCTATTTACAGAGTAGTATCACTTTTTTATTGACTTACAATTAATTTTAATATAAAGGAATGCTAAAAAATCCTAGGTCCGATCCACTTCTTAAAATCTAACTAAAAATGAACCCGCAACAATTGTTGTTTTTTCTTTTTGCTTTTTTAAATCACTTCTTGGTTGGTTCATTATCGTTTAAGAATTCCCTCGTAATTAATGAATTAATTTTATAATATGAATTATATAACCTGCTTTTATTTTAATTAATATCTATGTAAATATATCATTATAGATATTATAAAAAATATTAAAAACGGAATGGAGGTGGACGAGTTAGATTCATGCCATCCTCAAGACCATTTGTGCAGAAATGAACGCTGTAGACTAGGACGAAACTTGAACTCGAATCGCTGATTCCACTTCCCGTGATGATAACAGTTACGTTACCCTCACATGAATATTCAAATTGTAACTTTAAAAGTAATAATACAATTTTTGCAAAAGCTATCTTCTCCTAAGCTTAATAAAGTGTTAATTTGATGGCCGTGTTTTAATCAGATGAGAAACGAATAAATTATTGATAATTAAGAAAAACAGTTCAGTAACCATTGCAATACGGTACATTGCTAGTTTTCATTTCCTTAGTAGAAATCTAAGATTTTGATTGCCCCCAGTAAGATTCGGATTTACTAATCAATCGGATTCACAAACTTTTGCGTTTTAGTTGTGAATTCTTTCTATCGTCTATCATGCAGAAAGTATTACTTTGATAGGAAAGAGTGACGTGCATGGATGTCTGTATGAACATGCGTGTGTAAATGGTTGTGTGTCTGTGTGAGCTGGTGCAAGTGTATGTATATATCTAGGCCGGTTGTTATTAATTTCACTGTTTAAGAAAATAAAAAATTTAAAAAATAGTGGTAGCAACTTGAATACATGTACCTACTAAAAATAATGTTTATAGCAAATATGAAATGTATGTACTGTAAAAAACATTAGATCTTTTTGTTAAATTCACCCCAATTAATGTAAAGTTACTTATCGCAAATATTAATTCACCGCTCAAAATTTAAAAATCAAAATTTGTTTTTTTATTAAATTTTTGTCACTCTTTTGAAATTACAAATTTTAAATCTAAATTTGTTTAGCCTGCGTCACAACACCAACTCTCAAAATGAAAAATTACGAAAATTCAAAGAGTTATTCACATTTCGTAAGTGTGGATGATATTCGAGGTGCTTACAAAGATTTTTTTACAATTTAAAAATAAAAAAATGTAAAAAAAAACAAACTATTTTTGGCTTGTTTATCGGAGTAAGCGCGAATGTAGACCGTACACTTAGAATCGAGTCGCAAAGGTCAACCCAACCGAAGTGCAATGGAAGGGCATCACTCTGGGAGAATTTGGTGTGAATTTTAGTAAATATAAATTCTTTTTATTTTGGGGTGAATTAATATTTTTGGGCAGTATTAACAGAAAAGATCCAAATCATTTAAAAATTTCGGAGTTCCTTCATATCAAAGGCCGTTGATCAAGTTTATTTCAATCTCGGCGCCATATTAATCACGTGATGCTAAAATCTATTCAGCCACCATAGAAAGCGAATCCACGCTCATTACAAACTCTGGATCTTTGACAAAATAATGGTTCCACTGGCTATCTCACGAATTCTTACCTTCTTTCCTTGAAAATGACCAGTGATAGTCGTAAGTACTTGGAACATTACACACAGTTTCAGGCAAGTTCATTTATAGTTTTCCACTTGATATCAAACGAATTATTTAACAACAGTAAAAATTTATCAAAAGGCTTGACAGGAATTCCTTGTCCGCTTTATTTAATAAAACAAAATACTTTAAAATGCCTAAATGTTTTTCGATTAAATCAATAATTTCGTACATTCATAATAAAAAATAAAACCTTAATTTTACACAATAAAATAGCTATCTTTCAACATATTTTTCTCTTGTCAATGCATTTAATTCAGTAGTGAATATTAATCACATAGATCGAACATTATATGGTGTAAGTTTTCAAAATTCAGTCAATAATTACTTATTTACGTATTTATTGATCTATCTTCGTATGTGCGTGTGCATACCCGCCTCTAGGGGTGGGTGTGTTTGCAGGTGAAACTTTATTCATGATCTTTACACTGATCCACTTTTGCTCTAGAAGAAAAACTTGATAAATTTGAAGGGATAATTTATTAAACATACCAATTAAGGAGAGAAAGAGCGAAATTTTTCCAAACGACGCTTCTCCAATGAATTTCTTTATAAGCATCTGGAAAGAATAAGAGAAAAATGAACAGGTGAAATTTGATATAAAATAAAAGCAAGCAACGGGATATTACAAACATGCACGATTTACTATACTGATAGAAAGACATCTCTTCTTTTATTTATACATTGAAGAGGGACTTTATTTTTAAACCCCGTAATCAGCTGATATTAGGACAGCTGTCAAAAATTATCAAAATGAAAGATATAAACAAATTTTGATATTAGATCCACAAGCGACCAACTGTGAAAAATAACAACAGATGTTTTTTTTCTATAATTTAACGTTCGTAAATTATTATAATTTTACTCATACCCGCTATGTGAAATAATAATCACAATACTTACTTTGTAAACAGCTGCAGTGGAGGCGGACGTTACAGCCAACACGACGCCCCACATATTTGGATTACCAAATCCATCCGCATAAGCAAAGAGAACAATGCCAGTAATGGAGAATATCATTGCTAAAATCTACAATAAATAAGAATAAAAAAAAATTAAAGTCTTAAACCATGATTTTTTTTCAGTTTTGCCTATAATTGATAACTTATAATTAACATTTTTTTGATATCCTTAAATTAATATTAATAATAATCAGTACTGAGATAGTTTGTTGCAATCTGTTTTTTTTTACGATCGGCCCTATCTGTTAAAACTAATGTCATGAGAAAAGAATAATCCCCAGCTTTCATTAAGTGTTTGTCGATCCGGATAATTTTCAGGGAATTTCCATGTCCATATCTAGGTATATTTCGTCTTGTTCTTATTTAGTACTGCCTGGTTATTGTTTGACTCGTTTCCACGGAGTCCAAATACGCCCTGTTTAACCGAGGGATTTAACTCACAGTTATTACGTTACTAAATTCCCGAACAAAAGCTCTAATCCACTAGGCTATTGCCCCAAAGAAAAACTTGGAGCCTTAAACCTAAGCTGCCTGCTGATTAATGCTTCTGTACTTGTCATGCTTGACTGCACTCGAAGCCTTCTCTTTTTATTGCAGCTGCTGTTAAAGCTTTTCTGTCATTTATCTTCGATATCCCCAGAAATGTGTAGTGGAGCGAGAAAATCTTCTGTCTAGATTAAATGAAGGTCGGAGGGCGTAACAACCGACACGTTGTGATAACAACAGCAAAGATAATCAATAGTAATAACAAAGATAATCAATAGTAATAACAGCCATCGTCTATTGAAAATAAATACTTATGCAAAATAATTTTTCTTTAATCTGAATTTTGTTATTAATTGATTTTTAGATAAATTTCTTTGTAGGAGATTCAAACCGTGGAATTTATTTCATTTATTTATGTTGCTTTCTCCATTTGCTTGATGCAATTTCTCACATTAGTTATTACATGATGTGCAGTTTGATTTCCAAGAACAGTAACTGCTTAAAAAATCTCCAAAGTTACCTCCCTTATATCATTTCGCATGACGAAGAAATTTAATTCAACATCACAAAACCTTTCGCGCAAACAGTAAATTATAATCAGAGCCGGATTTCACCTGCCGAGGCCTTAAACTATATGAAATCCGAAAACCATTTCTAAAAAAAAATAAAAATAAAAAAAAATAAAAATAAAATAAAAATAAAAATAATTCGGGTAAATAACTTAAAATAATTATACATTGTTGTTATTATTTATTTACAAAATTCAATTATTTACAAAATGTTCTTTTTTAACTAAATTGATTTATTCCATTTGCCGCATAGAAAATAATTAATGCCCTTAACAATTAGGAAATATTTAGTACAAATATTCAGTACAAATATTTAAACAAAACTAGAATTAATAATAATCCCTTCTTTAAAACATTATTTTCCCTGATTATTTCATCGAAAGGAGAGCAGCGCAACTTGTCACTTTAAAGTGCATTTAATCTATCTTGCGACATGTTTGTTCAATGTTTATTTTTTATTCTTTTTAGTTATGAAAAAAAGATCTTTCCCTTGAGCAATTTGTAACCATCAAATATAGCAATAATCCTAAAATACTTTCTACGTTTGGAAAAGCTTGGCGGATTTTGTAGATTATTGAATATAGAAACTTGTGGCTAACCTATTTATCTTTTGATTCACATAAACATAAAAATGTTTCAATACACACCTAACAGGTTTTCATATCAACGTCGTTAGAATATTCTTGATTAACTGCTGTTATACTGGAGTCATACATTGGCTCCCTGATCAAAGTCCAGCACTCTTAATCTTTATTTTTAACAAGAAAAAAAATATGAAGAAAATAAATTTCAGATTTTTAGACTCCAATATTCGTCTGAAGATGAAATGGAACTAATGTTTTTAATTTAATTACAAAATTAAATTTGAAGTTTTTAGCTTCCATTTTTGAAACATGGTTATTACTCTGTAGCGAAAAAAAAACATATTTTAAACCAGTTAATTTATAACATTTATGCTCTGTAAATTTACATTGAGGACTGTTTTGTAAAAATAAAAATATCAATAAGAACACCGGATTATATATCTTACTGTTCTTTCTTTCTTTCTTTCTTTCTTTCTTTCTTTCTTTCTTTCTTTCTTTCTTTCTCTCTCTCTCTCTCTCTCTCTCTCTCTCTCTATATATATATATATATATATATATATATATATATATAAGCTAGCTCTTCTTTTCTATCGCTCTCCATCCTCCCAAGATTGCGGTGTACTCGATTGCATTTACGATAATATAAACAAGGCTATCTCTCTACATCCATCTGCAAACATATTTGTGTTTGGTAACTTCAATGCCCACCATACCAAATGGATTAAACACTCTGTTACTGGCATAGAAACACTTTTCAACCTCTCACACGATTGGTTGACTTTCCTACGCATTTCCCCAAGTCACGCAAGCACCTTCACATAATCTGCTCTCCGACAAGCAATATGTTTTCCGTTTTGCCCGATCCACCGCTGACGTGCTCACAACCATAACTGAATTTACATACCACGCACTCAACAATAATGGAAAATCTCGAGCCGTGGCTCTAGACATCTCTAAAGTATTTGATAGCGTTTGGCATACTGGCCTTCTTCGTAAGCTTCAGGGATACAGGACGATTATTTAATACAATCATTTCTGTCAAACCGTGATATGAAGGTCGTCCTAAACTTGTTCTCCTCCGGTTCCTTTATCACGAACGCTGGTGTTCCCCAAGGCTCTATCTTGGGCCTTACACTGTTCCTGATCTTCATCAATGACCTTTCCGATGTCATCAGTTCCCAAGTAGGTATTTACTACTCAATAGTAAATCTGGTATCATTGACAAAACTAACCTAGCTGCTGATCTCGAAAAGGACCTCCAATCTGTGTTTTGCTGGGACAGGAAAAGGCTCTCCTTTACCCACCACAGAGAACCATCCCTGCCTCCGAACAGAATGGCTGATTCCCAACTCCTCGAGAACGCCTCGTTACGCCTGCATGGTCTCACGTTGTCCACTGACATGAGGTGTAATAAATACATTGAATCAATAGCTTCATCTACCGCAATGAAAGCTGGTTCTCTGCGTCGTGCCAGAAAGTTTTTCTTGTCTGAGTCCATCTTTCAAATCTATAAATCAACCATCTGTTCTTGCATGGAATATTGCTGTCATATATGGTCTGGTGCTCTCGCTGTACGTCTCGAGGTCCTCGACAAAATCCAGTGCTTAATGTAATACAACAGAACTATTAAGTATATATATATATTTAAGTTATGAAAAACTTGGTAATCCGTATGGGTAGTCCCAAGGAGGATGAAATATATTACTGAACAAACATAACGAGTTAATTTTTAGATGTAGACATAAAAACCACCTCAATCTAACTAAATATATTTAGAAATAACTATATAGAAAGGAAAATATTATTTTTGGTTTTAAAATGATTGTATGAACACATGGATGCGGATGCATAATTGTATGTATACAAATGTGTAGATGAACTTGGACATTGATATGTGGTTTTATGTATGTATGTATAGGCGCTTTGGATAAGGGTGTATATATGCATATATGTGTATGTATGTATTGTATGCGCATGTATATATATATATATATATATATATATATATATATATAATGCATATGTGTGTGTATGTATATGTATGTATGTGTGTGTATGGGTGCATGCGTAAGTTTAGCTAGGTATTTTTGTATATATATGTATATATATTTTGTATATATATATATATATATATATATATATATATGTATAGTGTCATGGGTATAAGATTGCATGTGGTCTGTATATGTATATGTGTATATGTATATAGATGTAAATATATGAGAGTTAATATTTGTAATATGTGTGAATATATGTAAAATATAGTAATATAAATACATATGCATGTGTGGATGTTTATGGGTATAGATCTGTTTTTTATATACTTATATATATATATATATATATAGAAAGTATTCTAATGGAAGGTCATAAAGTTATTTTATTGAAGTTTTAATATGTCTTTTATTAATATTTAAACTCACTTTCTCTTTTAATATTCACTAATTAGAATAGTGGTATTAAATATTTATCATCTGGAGGTATTTTCATTTTGAATTTATAATTTAATTTAAATTTAAATATATCAATCTTTAACTATCAATATTGATAGTAAAATATTAAAATTAGAAATATTTGTTTAGATATTTAAACACTTGAGTCAACACCTAACGTTAAACATTAACTGTTAAATTAAAGAAAAATTTAAATAAATTTAAATATAAATAAATTATTTGAAAATGTATGTGTATGCATTTGTGTATGAATATGTATAGGTACCTGTGTATATCGATACATGGGTGTGTGTCTCTGTGTGTAATTGCACATGTAAATGAACGTATGTATATGTAGGATTTGCATAAGTGTATATGTGGTATATATATGAAAAAAACAAAATCTTTAATATTACCTTCAAATATTACTCCATCTTAATTCGAAACCTAAACTTTAAGTAAGAAAGATTACCCATCTAAAAATAATTGCAAATTACATTCATGAATTAGATTCAAACTGATGAAGATGTTAACTTAACTGTCTTTTACAATATTAAAAGAGTACTATTGGTCGGGTAAATAAATGGTTTAAAACTTTTTTTTTAAATGTGTTCTCTATGAATGTGTTAATAAATACAGTATTTAATTTATATTAAATCCCTAAATTATTTGTAAAAAAGTTAAATATTTAAATTGCTAGCAAGCATCAAATTAATTTCATCGTGTTTTTTTAGACATCTAAATTACTATTAAACATTAAAATCTATTTTTTACATAAATTGCTAAAACTTATCACCCCTGTCCTTCATATGTAAAACCCATTTACAGCCTCTTTCTCTTTACTTCCTCCTTCTTTCTTTTTCCTTTTTCTTTTCTCTCTTCTCCCCTCCCATTTCAATATATCACTTCCGTTAAGTTAACCGTTTAAATAGGTCAAGTATGTATGATGTATGATTGAGAGAAATATTAGATTAAACTAAGCTCTAC